ATGTATGTGTGTGTGTGTGTGTGTGTGTGTGTGTGTGTGTGTGTGTGTGTAGGTGGTTGAGAGCACTTGCCCATGTGTGTTTGCATTCACTTTGTTGAATGTGTCTCTTCAAATACTGACAGAGGGGGAATGAGATGTTAACTGAATACACAAACTTAGTATTAACTGAAATGTGTGTCCCCAGGAGTTAATTGGTGCATTTGTTTCATGGTAACACCTTAGCAGTACTCATCTCACTGAGTTGCACATAATAAGTTATTATAGATGTTAATGCAGCTGCTGGTAAACAAAACCCAACAGTAAGCTGCTTTGGCTCAACAGTAAGAGGACCGGCCCGTTTGTGCAAAAAGTGTGTGTTGCTTTGAGTTGGATTTTATATTCATGTAGAAATAGGTCTCATTATTAACTCTATATGTACAGTGTAAGCTTTGTTTTCTTGTAGTTAGATTAGCTAGTAGCACATCACACATCCAAGTGCAATACATCATTTAACATTACTATCATCTATTTGAGTGGCTTTCAGAGGATTAAAGCTCTACTGCCGTCCACGCAGCATTTCACAAGTCCCACCTCTGCCTCTGCATCCACCACCAGAGGAATCCACCCCTGAGCCTACATTCCTCTAGGGGAAAAGAAGACCCTTTGACTGGTTAAAAATGTTTATTTAAAGTGTGAAAAGTAATAGAGATAATTAAAAAAAAACACTAGGCAAAAGAAAAAAAATGATAGCAAGGGCAAACAAATATCAATTGAAACCTTCAGAGAAAAAGCTATAACTTCAAGGGACAAATAACTTGGACAAAATCATCATTTCAAAAATTATGGGCACTTACAAGGTTACCAAATACCAGTGCTGCATAGACAATATTCTACATTCATATAACAATCCATTGACTGAACAGTGGCAAGTGTAGTAATTTAAAGCTGAGCCAGGAAGTCACTCTACCTACACCATGAATTCTAAGGGTTGTTTACAATGGATAATTTGAGTAGTAAGATTCCTGTTCCTCTTTTTTATTTGTTTGGCCAAAAAAACAAAACAAATTGTAATAAAGGTTTAACTACAAGTAGGATCTATACTGATAGGCATCTTATTCCAAGTGGAAGCATTTTGCCCTTGTTTGCAATGTGTCCCTGGTTGAACGGTGTACTTTGTACTATGAGAAGCATTTTGCAAACAGCCTTCCAGATATGTTCACTCCTCTGTGGTAAGTGTGTCAGGTGTATAACCCAGCAAAGCAGCAATGTGGAAACAGCACAGCTAGCAGTGCACCAGGGAGCACATTATGTGACATAACAAATATGCAAATCTTTGCCTTTTTTTAAAGATTACATTATGAATTGCATTTTATGATTCTGCAATGAACACCATACATCAAGAATCTCAACGTGACAGTATTTGTACTAAAATTGCATATTTTGCTCAACTTTGCTAGGACTGAATGTGACAGTGCAGCCTGGATCTTGAAAACCATGGTGGTTTATGTAATGTCAGACCTGTATGAAGATCATATGGCTGATGTTGCATTTTCCTCTGTGCAGGCTGCATGAGGGACCTACGCCTCAATGGCCGCTATATGCCTCTGGACAGCCAGCCACGAGATGGTGTTTCCCAAGTCAGCACACAAGGCCTCTCCCTTGGGTGCTCATCTGACTCCTGCAAAAGGAACCAGTGTAGCCCTCCCTTCACCTGTGTTGACTTGTGGAGAGTACATGAATGCAGGTACATGGGCAAACCATACACAGCAAAGGAAGCTGCACAGCCAAGTACACTCACACTTGGATGTTCAACATGCACACTCATCATATTGACACTAAGGCATGAAGACACATCTTTTGTATTATGTTTTGTTCATAGCCACATAAATATGCTATAAAATAACCTAACCCTGAAAACATCCCATTCACGCCAACACTTTTTTGACCAAAAAGCTTTGCTCATAAATATGCTATAAAATAACCTAACCCTGAAAACGCCGACACTTTTTTGACTTGATGTAGAGAACAACCAGAGAAACATCCAAGCAGGCATAAAAAACAGTCACCAAGCAACAAGCAATGCCAAAAGGAACTTAACAACAGATAAATCATATAACTAGTTAACAAGTATCATTTTTGCAAAAAGTCACAACGGTGACCTTACTAGAAAAGCATTCGGATTCTCATCTCCAAAAAGTCACAACGGTGACCTTACTAGACCGCCGACACTTTTTTGACCAAAAAGCTTTGCTCATGTGTAAGAGAAAGTGGGCCCATCAGTAAGACAATGTGACAGGCAGTACCATCCACAAAAGCATTCGGATTCTCATCTCCAAAAAGTCACAACGGTGACCTTACTAGACCAAATAATATTTCCATAATACTTACAATACAGGACAAGGCTGAACTGAAGGCAAGTGGAGCAGAAAAAACAACAACAAAACAGTTACACAAGACTTAATGCCCTGTCGTTCTCCTTGCTCACTCTTTGCTCCCCCTTGCACACCAGGTTCCAAACACGACGTGAGCACACTGTCCTGCCATGTCTGAGTGAAACCACAAGGAGCATTAACATTTAAGACACACAGTTTTGACTGACATAAAGCCAAAACCTTAACAGACAGATGAAACCTGCAATTTTATGTATTCTGTCTGAAAAGTGCTTCAGTAAACCACAGACTTTACATGAGGATCAGTTTTATTTTTATGAGAACGGCTACTCCAACTCTGAAAACAGTTCTATAATGTGTATCTTTTGTCTCTGCAGCTTGAAGTCTGGGTTTGGCTTGATAACAACAAATTTATCACCCAAAAAAAGCAATAAAAATCTAGATTGCTCAGTTTTAAAAGCTGTCGCTATTTACCACTCAAGATATCTCAACCTCTGACATCAGCTTGGATCATTCTTTTTGTCTTTCTCTCTTCACATCTCTGTTTTGTACACTACAACACAATGGTGAGTCACTGTGGTAGCGCTTTAAATATTTGTTTCTGGTGATTAACAGATTGTGTCAGCAGAGGAATCTGACTATGGTAGATCCCCCTCCCAAAGCTGAAGGATGATCAGTTTAGATAAAAGGTGGATAGAGGTCATACACTGACTGTAGTTAATTCTGTCTTGACTCTTCAGCAGTGCTCTTTATGACTTTAGTCTGCCTTTTCTGTGGGCATTGATGCCTGGTTAACTGTCCTAAAGGTGCTGCAGATGTTAGTGCACACACCAATAATAGAAACTAAATTCATTAATTAACTTGTTTTATAGTGCCTCACTGCTTGGTTTCTTGATTAAAAACCACAGGCTGAAATGACAAGAAGAATGTGGGGTGACTGGCAAACAAGCACCAAACTGGGTAAAGGTCATTATAAGTTGTCTGTTCATTTTGATTTCTTTTGAAATTGATAGTGTCTCTTTGAAAAACAAATGAGCAAGTAAACTCGTTTAGCTTCTTTGTGGGCAGGGTGCCTTGTGAAGTCACATCAGCCGCCAACTGTGCAACTATCCCTGAGCCTGTCTGACAGAGTAAAAATATTGCAGAGCCAGTTCAAAGTCAATACTACAGTGCACCATATGACATCACACATTTATTTTAACTAGCCAGTGAACGCATCTGTGGTTGAAACAGTCCACTGGATTTGGCAGAATAAACTGTTTGCATTGCTTATCATGAACAAACTGGAAACAACACCAGGGAGGCCAGTTGTTACAGGACGCACTGGTGTGCAGGTTGCTATAGGTTATTGGTTAGAGGATGAACTGTACTACTAGTACTGACAAGCAGTAAGAGTAACAGAAGCTATCTTCTCTACCTCAGCCCTTGTGGGTTAAACAAGATTTGCCAATGCAACGCATTGCTGCTTGACATAAGACTTCACTGTAGCAAATATTTGTCAGATGCTATTTTTGTTTTTGAGCTCTCTGTGCCACAGCACCCCCACCATGCTATTGCAGGGGTCTCATTTAAAATTAGGGAGAAGGCTGTTGTTTTTTGTTTGTTTATTTGGGTTTTTTGAGGCAGTGCTATTGTCTGAATTGTCCAAATCTGCCTTCAGAAATACTTTCAAAAGTTAAACCCCCCCAAGAGCCAGTGTTTTCAGAAAGAGGCATGTCTCCCTTTTAAAGGTAGTGAATAAGGCAATGAATCCCACGATCTCTGTCACTTTATAAGCAAAATGCCTAAAATGTTGGAGGTGAAAATAGAGTCATTCCCCAGCCTTGTGACCCAGATGGGATTCACACTCTTGCACTACAGTA